GAAAGAGTGCTGGGCTAAAAAGCTGACTAACAGTGATTTGTCTTTTTTATTTTTCTTTCGCACTTTAGCACATCCTTGTGAGCTCTACTGCCGACCCATAGATGGCCAGTTTTCGGAGAAAATGCTGGATGCTGTCATTGATGGTACCCCTTGCTTTGAAGGTGGCAACAGCAGAAATGTCTGTATTAATGGCATATGTAAGGTATTGGGTATGTTTCCTTAATCTCTAACTTTATGAAATCATGATTTTTACTAATTCAACAAGTCAGACATTCTAACCTTGTGCTTTCATGGCATTTACATGTGGTCTGGTTTTTATATATGGATTGAGAGTTAAGAAGACCAGACTTCTCAATGTTCATCAAAGTCACAATTATGAACTGAATATTTTTTTTTCCCTCCTGTTATCCTTATTCCTTGATTTGCTGATATGCACAAGTGGTATTTTCTAGGGAATGGGCAAGGTGAAATTGAAGAAAAATCCAATTAAAGCCAAACTAAATTGGAAAAGGCAGCCTGTATTATTTAAGTGGCATTTGAAAGGAAGTGAAGTGCCTAGAGGCTTTCTGTCTTCCATTTTCAACCCAATTTTATTTTCTGCACGTGATTTCTGGTTTTTTTTTCTCTTTTTTTCTAGTTCTTTCTTTCCTTTTTCTTTGCTTATTCTTCCTATTTCAGTTTCCTACTTCCTTTTTCTTTTGCCTTACTTTCCTGTTTTACTGCTGACTGCTTACCCACTGCCTAGAGAAAACTAAATGCATAGCAGCTAAACATCTGAACACTTAGGAGTTTTAAAGAATTCTTTGCACTTCACTGTAGTGCTTGCAAAAATTGCCCTTCATAAAACTGATTTCAAAACTCCTCCTGTGATTTCCACACTGAAGGACACAGCAGAAGGAAGAAAATAGCACCGAATTATTTCACAGTAAGGGAAACACGCAAGCTCAAAGTCAAAGAATCCTTCTGCAACAAATTAGCCACAAGTGAATACATTACCCAATGACTGAAATTCGGAGAATACCCTCTAGGATGAGAGGATCAAGTAATGCATCTACAACAAGAGAACACTGTAACCTGTTTCCAAGTAGGGAAAAAGCAGTGGATATTACCAAAATGTCAGAAAAAGAATTTAGAATATTTATGGTAACAAAACTCTATGAGTGGGAACCAGCAGTTAGCGTAATGGCTATGTCGCTGGACTCCCATGTAGTTGACCGCGGTTCGCGTCCCGGACCCGGTGGCTTAAAACTCACACCGGGTGCATGTGCGTGCATGCCCAAGACCTGAGAGGAGAATGGAGGAGAAGGGATTGCGGCGTGACCATCCCCCCTGGGGGGTGATTTCTCGTGTCTCTATGTCTCTCTCTGTCTGTCTGGTGAGCGCACGCGCCGTATAGCGAAAACCTCTCAAAAAAAAAAAAAAAAACTCTATGAGATGGAAAAGAAAAGAGATGTGGAGCTCGAAGAGATGAAGAAATCCTTCCATGACATGAGAGAAGAATTGGACACCATTTTTATGGTGATAAAAAAGAATCAAACAGAACTGTTAGATATGAAGGCTGTAATACAGAAAATCAAAACCTCCCTCAAAAGTATTAAGAGAAGGTTAGACCACACAGAAGATCGAATCTCGCGAGTAGAAGATGAAACCCCTGACCTAGAAAAAAATTAGAAAAAATGCTGACAAAACAGCCAAGAAAACGGAGTATAATATATAACAAATACTAGACGAATCAAACAGAACTGTTAGATATGAAGGCTGTAATACAGAAAATCAAAACCTCCCTCAAAAGTATTAAGAGAAGGTTAGACCACACAGAAGATCGAATCTCGCGAGTAGAAGATGAAACCCCTGACCTAGAAAAAAATTAGAAAAAATGCTGACAAAACAGCCAAGAAAACGGAGTATAATATATAACAAATACTAGACACCATGAAACACCCAAACATTTGAATAATTGGCATCTCAGAAAGTGAAGAAACTAATAAGGGTATTGATAATCTATTCCACGAAATTCTGGAAGAAAATTTTCCAAGTCTAGAGAGGCACTCAAACATTCAGACACAAGAAATACAGAGAACCCCAAGTAGAATCAATCCAAGAATATCCTTTCCATGGTACATCATTTAGATTGGCCAAAACCACAGACAAAGACAAGATACTAAGACTGGCAAAATTCTCTTTTAAACCAATTATTATTGTATCTACAAAGAACCAAAAATCATGAATATGTTTTAGAGTTGTTTTCTAGAGCAGGAAGCACTTTCTAAGGAGTCTTCAAAAATTCATGAAAAACATGTATTATGAAAAAACTATGCATAGATTTTACAATATTTTTATATCAAAATAATTTGTACTTTAATTTCTTTTTGGAGTTCTCCAATATTTAAACAATTCAGACAAAAACAGCCCCATTTCTGTTTAAAGCAGTGATTCTTGATCCTGGCTGCCTATTAGAATCACCTGAAGAGCTTTTAAAAACTACTGATGTGGAGTCCTGCCGGTGACTTTGTGATTAAAGTGTTGAATCTCACAAAGTTGATTCTGAGGTTCAAGTCCTATACCTGACTACATGAAACTCATGCTAAACACATGTGTGTGTGTGTGTGTGTGCGAAAATCTCAAGAGAAGAATGGAGAAGAAGGAATTACAACATGGCTACTCCCTTCGGGAATGATTTCTCAATTTTTCTGTCTGTCTCTCTCCAATGGGCGCATGCACTATATGGCAAAAACCTAAAAAAAAAAAAAAAAAAAAAAAAACAGAAACAACAAAAAACTACTGATGTGATAAAATCCAACAGGGATATGTTATAGATGGCAACAACTTGCTATGTATCTCAAAGTAACTAAAAGGGACAGTTTTGAATCTTCCCAACATAAGAAATGACAAATGTTTGAGATGATGGATATGTTAACCCATTAATCATTATACATTGTCTTCTTGTACTGAAAAATCACATTGGACCCCTATAAATATGTACAATTTTAAGTGAATCAAAAAGAAAAAGGGGGGGGCAGCAGATGGAGAGGTAATTAAGGAGCTGGATCTCACATAGTCCTGAATATGGAGGCTTGAAAATTGTGTGGGATGCTTCTGTGTGCATACCCAAAATCCTGAGAGACAAACGGAGGAAAAGGGATTGTGATGGGCCATCCTACTGGGAGGTGACTTCTCATTTTCGCTTTCTGTCTCTTTCTCTCTGTCTCTGTCTCCAGCAAGTGCACATGGCACCCAGATATCTACATTAAAGAAGAGAATTACTCACCATAGCCAGTATATATGTACATGTATAGCATCTTTACTGTAAATATTCAACCTAGTTTTAATAGGCTTACTGGCAAGCATCCTTTTGCTTTCTTTGTCATACAGGCTCCTAGCACCTGTCAGTGCTACCAAGAAGATAATGTCTATGCATGTATGATGGTTTTCTTCCTGAATAACATGTTTGAGAAATAGTTCATGTCAACAGGTGCATTTGCGATCATTTTAAATAATGTTTTTGTATCATCTAAGCTGGAATCTGGCCTCCTTCCATCCATGCAATAACTTGTTGAAATTCTTGAGAAATGAAGCTCAATGTGCATATGGATTCAATTGCATATCATCTATCATAGCCCCACTTATCAACATCAAAATCTCTTAAGCATTAAGGGTTTTTTGCAAGAGTAGCATCATTGACATTTTGAAAGCCTTGCTGAAGACTGAAAGCTTAGTACAGTCCAGATCCTCTCCTGACAGACTTGTACCTCATGGAAAACCTCAATGCTAGATAATTTTTCAGTGATGGCACATTTTGAAATTCTGCACATTCATGGGGCACAGTAATACTGTATAGCTTGTTTTTTTTTTCCCAAAATTCACTCAATTAATAGGTTTTTTTAAAAAACAATTTAGACATTACTACTAGTACATTTTTTATTAGTCATATTTGAAAAAGATCTCTGTTAAATCTGTTGTGCTTATATCTGAAATTTTTGTTTTTTATAGCTCTTTTTGGCAATATATAATTTTATATAATTTATATAAAATACTATAGATTGTAAGCAGTGTATTATACAAGATTATGGGGAGAAAATCTCATATCCAGAGTACTCTATCATTTTTTGTGTGTGCTTGGTTACCAGAGAACTACTTAAAAACCATCTGCTTTTTCCTTTTTTTCTTTAATTTACCACAGGGACCATGCCCTTGTTGAAGATAGAGACAGAAAGAGAAAAAGTGAGAAAGCACCTCCCAGCATGAGGGATGGTCATGTTGTAATCTCCTCTCCTCCCTTTCTCCCACATGTTGGGACCCTGAATGCATATACATGATGTCTTAAATGTCCCCTAAGCTGCAGGGTCTCGAATTCAAATTGTGCATTTGACCATGGGATCCAGCTGCCTTAACCACCAGGCCACTGGTTGGTCCCAAATCAACTGCTTTTTAAATCATTCTCTGTAGTTCAAATATCTTGCTTACTTATATTCATTAAGATGTTTATTTTGGGGGAACCAGCAGTTAGCGTAATGGCTATGTCGTTGGACTCCCACATAGTCAACCACGGTTTGTGTCCCGGACCCGGTGGCTTAAAACTCATGCCGGGCGCATGTGCGTGCGTGCCCAAGATCCCGAGAGGAGAATGGAGGAGAAGGGATTGCAGTGTGGCCATCCCCCCGGGGGGTGATTTCTCGCTTTCTGTCGCTATGTCTCTCTCTGTCTGTCTGGCGAGCACACGTGCCCTATAGCGAAAATCTCTCCAAAAAAAAAAAAAGATGTTTATTTTGAAATTACACTTGCCAGCATTTTGGCTTGTTAGATTTATAAGTTCCATTGTCAAGGAAATGATCAAAACTGAAGTTATTCTAGGAGGTAACAGTGTGTGCCCCTCTCTTCCGCCCTCCAAGTTTAACAGGTACTAAACTCTCCTAAGCTTGTTTATCAAAGGGATAGATTTAAACTTTTAGATATAGCTTTAGGCTTTTCAGGATATTGCTCTTGTTCATCATAAGTATGTCATGAACTAAGCTCTCAGATATATGAGCAGATGTGCCCCCCTTCCAGTTCTGAAATCTCACTCTAATTCCTCCTGTCAGATTGGTCTACCAACCTTCCAGCTCTCTCTCACACTTTCTCCTAGTAACCTGTTTTTTGGCTTTAGCTCGCTGATTCTCCCCTTTTTCTACCAGTCAGCATAACCTTGGCTGAATTTCCTTCCCAAATAGCCTGGATGCGCTAGTCTATCACATTTTTGGTTCTTTCAACTTCTCTTAG